TTCCACCAATCCTGATGCCACACTTCTCCTCATAGAGCCCAGCCTCTCGGATAATCTGTTCTGCATACAGGTTGAAAAGGTATGGAGACAGGACACACCCATGGCGTACGCCCTTCCCAATTTTGAACCATGCAGTGTTTCCCTGTTCTGTTCTGATGACTGCCTCTTGGTCCAAGTATAGGTTTCACATTAACATGATCAAGTGTTCTGGGATTCCCATTCTTCTCAGAGTCAGCCACAGTTTGTAAAAAATTAAATTTCTTGCATACATATTAGAATTTCAAATTGTTCTATTTCTTTTCCTATTCATTTTGTTAAGTAATGATTTTAAAATAACTGTTCATCTAAACTTTGAAATGTCCATATGCAACTGTCCTTCTAGGCAGTTCTGGCACTCTGCACTGCTAATCTAATGGGTCTGCATCTGTGGTGCTCAGAATCCACCAGCAGCTACTTTAAAGAAAGATGGGAAATATCCTCCTTTTGCTATTTTACAGCCTCAGAATCCAAATTGGAGGGGGAGGTGGAGAGGGGAAGAACTGACAGCAGTGGAAATGAGCATCAGGGCTATTCCTTTCATTATTTCAGCATTTCTCATGTGTTCTACAGTGTTGATCCCTTCTTCATCCCTGGATCCAAACTGCCAGGGAGGCTCTACTTTTGGGTTAGCAGAGCAACTCCAAACAGGGTACACCACCAGAATTCCCTAAGAATGTTTTTATTCGAGTCCACCAGTGGCTCCATAGATGGACAATCTCCTCCCTGGAATGACCTTGGAAACTTGCTGAGGAGTCAGCTATGAGTTGGTTCTGACTTGGTAATGATGAGAGAAATGTTCTCGGATATTTACCAGGGAAGAGAAAGGAGAAGAGAGTGATAGATGGTAAACAGATAATACATACATATTGATATGGGTGAAAGGAAAGGCAATTTCCAGTAAGGGGATGATCATCAAATTATTACTAAAGAAAGGGAATACTAAACGGTTTTGATTTTTTTTTAACGTAGATTATTTATTTTCCCATTTTATGGATGTGGAGTTAATAGCTTAGCAATGTACCTACTTGACAATGCAATACTTCTCTCCCTCTCTCTTCTTCTTTTTGGTTTGTATACAGTTGTTCATATATATTTCCTTCATACAAATCACATTTTTTATCATCATTAACTTTAATACAGTCATTTCTAAACCATGTTTAATTAATGAACTTTATCTTTTATATTATTATTTTAAAATTATTTGTTTTGTATAATTTTTAAACATAAAAATGTTTTATATTTAATACTGTTTTCATTATCGTACATTTTATTCTTCCCTCCTCTCCTCCCTTCCTTAACCTTCCCATATTGCACCCTCT